GAGAAAGAGAGACAAGTGGGAAATTTTACCACTTACACATGGATTATTTAAGAAAGACCTAGGACGGGGGATGAACAGCAGGGACCTGTGAGGTGGTGAAAACAGAATGGGTTATGGATGAGTTTCCTTCCTGCTATGGAAGATGAAGGCACCCAGCATATGCAGATCCATTCAGGCTAAAAATGGGGCTGGAGGGATGGCCTCTCGAGAACTTGCTGTTCTCGCAGAGGATGCAGTACCCACATGGCAGCTCACAGTTGTCTATCACTCTAGCCCCAAGGGATCCAATGCCCCCTTCAAACTCCCAAGGGTGCCAGACACATGCGTGAGCAAAATGTTCACACGCATTAAAAAAAAAATCCACCACCTCCCACAAGCTGGCTCCCACTTCCTCTACCAACCAGACAATATACAAAGGGCAGCGTTTACTGGCTCTCTGCAAACACCCGGAAATTCTCAATCCTATAATTGGCCACAGTGTTTCCTCAAACCCTAATGTCCTCTCTCAGTTCTACAAACCCAAATTCCAACTGGCTCAAATGCCTTTCTCCATCTGTCTTCCCAGGAGCCTCGGTGCAAAGCCTGTCATTAGCTTTGCTTCTTTATAAAATAAATATCTCAAAGGCTTTTCTTATAATTATTCCTCAGCCTGTCCATTCCTTACAGCAAACACACTCATTTTGACTCCTCCTTGCCTCTTGGTACACGTGGTTGAAGATCTTGATTAAGTAGTAAAGTTAGGAACCCAGATAACGAAGACAGGAGAGTTGATTCTGTATCTTCACTTGGCCGTTCCTTAGTTGCATGTCTTTCAATAAACTACTTAACCTATGTTTCTGTGTATTTATTCATAAGTGAAGAAGAACAGTATATATATATATATTTCATAGGCAGCCACAGGATGAGCTTACAAGAGTATTGATATTATAAAAGCACCCACTAGATACCTAATAAAACAAAAATCACTTCTCAGGGTAGCAAACTCCTGAATATTTTGTGATAGTTGTGTAAAGCTTTACTACGAAGGCGAAGTTTTAAAAACAATCAAACATAAAGCCAAACTTTAAGAAAAAACGGATACATGCAAATTCTTGCTAAATCATCCTATATGTGGCCTAGGGGTTGGCTGTGACTTTTTAAGACACAATTTTGCTACATTTACTTATTTGGCGCGTGTATGTGCTTGTCCATGCCATGGTGCACACTGAATGCCAGAGGACAATCCACGGAAGTCAGTTCTCCCATTCCATCGTCTGGGTCCCAGGAATCAAACTCAGGTAACAGGGGCCATTACCCAGGGAACCTCTCCTGCATCCAGCTGTGACTTTTACAGTCTTAGTTTTTGAGAATTAAAGTTCCTACGGTAAATAGCCATCTGAACCGGTCTCCCTGCCTCAGCTTTCTTCCCATTTGCCATTGTCTTCCTAAGAAGCAAGCGTAACGTTTTCCCAGTGCTACCAAATCCTCCATTTTATCCCTCCGGTTTAAAGGTCTTTGGATCTCATACAAAGTCGCCCTAATCCTCCCAACCCGGTCCCCAGCTTCATCTCTCAAAACTCACCGCGAAACCCGACCCAGCCAGTCACATCTTTCTGTACGCCATGCCCGCGGGCTGCAACACCTACTTGTTTTCTGGGGCTGCAAGAACAAAATACCACGGACTGCGCAGGTTAACGAGCAATTTTCTCTTCTCTTAGTTCGGGGAGCCGGAAGTCCAAAATTCAGGTTTGGTTTCTCCCGAGGCCTCTCTTCTTGGCCTTGATAATGTTATAGGTTCCTTCCTATGCAAGTGTATCTTTTTTGTGTCCAGTCCTTTTTTTTTTTTTCTTGTAAGCATACCTGTCAGACTGCATAGAATTCCCATTTACGGTCTCATTTCAACTTAATCTCCTCAGAAGCCCTATGCAAATATAGTTACATTCTGGGGCAACGAGGGTTAGGTAGGGCTTCCAGATAAAAATCCTCAGAGGACATTATTGAGCCCATGACAGTTGCTACCCCTTTCTCTGCCCACGCTAACGCCCATCTGTTTTTCCAAGACTGGCCCAAACCTTTCCCTCCCGGCTGATGCAGCGCCCTGTGTTCCCAGTCTCTGGATTCTGCTGTCATGTTGCTCAAGACGCTAACATAACTCCCCCTCTCTTCTCCATATACATAAGGATATAACAGTGAAGATTATATCCTTATAACCAGGACAGCGATACAGAAAATATTTAATAAAGACTTGATGAGAAGTAAAGAGAAGAACATGGACCCTGAAGTAAAAGATATATATATATATATATATATTTATATATATATAAATGAGCCTATATATATATATATATATATATGCTCAAATCCTGACTCCATTGTTTCCCCACGAAGATAGGAAAGTCATTTAATGTTGACTCTCCATTCTAAATAAAGCAGTCGTAACGACGACACTGTAGTTAAAATAAGACTCCTTCGCCACGGTTTTGTTACACAATTAAGAGCTTTGATGTTTAAGCAAAGGTTTGACCATGGCTGGTGTGACAGCCACTTCTACCGTTCAGTGATTAAATAACTTTGTTAATATTCTACTGCTTTAGCTGTCTATCTGTTAAGAGCCAAAACCCCGATGGTGCTATCGTGGCAATAACCAGGTAAAGGATTCAGTGGGGGTATGCAGCAAGTGCATTATTTTATGTTTCCTATTATTGCTATTGCAAGAACACTGCAGGTCTGAACAGATATGATGGACATCCAATGAGACTATCGCTTCAAGGTCTCAGGTTTCTTTCCAGCTAAATATAGTAACTTAATGAGGTTCAAGAACTGGTCCAGGGACAGCAAGGTGGCCGAGAGATCAAGGTGCGTGTCACCAAGACTGACAACCTGAGTCTGATTCCCAGGACCCACACAGCAGAAAGAGAAAACTGAATCCCTACAAGTTGTCCTCTGACCCCCCACCTGCGCTCATGCATGAAGGCTCCCAGGCACACAGTCACAGCAATGAACACACAAATGCAATTTTAAAAACTAGATGGGCACGGTAGCGCACAACTTTAATCTCAGCACTCAGAGAGGCAGAGGCAGGCTGATCTCTGTGAGTTCCACGCCAGTCAGGGCTACAGAGTGAATCACTGTCGAAAGAAAGAAAGAAAGAAAGAAAGGGAGGGAGGGAGAAAGGGAGAGAGGGAGGGAGGGAGGAAGAAAGGGAGGGAAGGAAGGGAGGGAAGGAAGGAAGGAAAGAAAGAAAGAAAGAAAGAAAGAGCCGGGTGGTGGTGGCGCACGCCTTTAATCCCAGCACTCGGGAGGCAGAGGCAGGCGGATCTCTGTGAGTTCGAGGCCAGCCTGGTCTACAAGAGCTAGTTCCAGGACAGGCTCCAAAACCACAGAGAAACCCTGTCTCGAAAAACCAAAAAAAAAAAAAAAAAAAAAAAAAAAAAAAAAGAAAGAAAGACAACCACAACAAACTCAAAACAAAAAAACCGTTCAGATGATATAAGCGAGCTGTGGCTGAGAAAAACAGCATGAACTGCGATGCTCCCAGTAGTCTCACCTCACGTCTCTCATGTTGGTTTTAACTTATTTGGGGTAGGGAAATAAAAAAAAAAAAAGCAAGTTTCCCTAGTCCCTGTGACTATGATGTTACGCATCCATAGTGAACCATAAAACCCAACCGCTGGAAATGACCTTTGTGGTACATGTCCGATCCTATCATTTTTTTTCTTTACATAAGTACATCCAGGAGGATTTGGAATGAGCTCTTCATGCCTTAATGAGCAGTTCTAGGAGGGGCGAAACGAGCTGACAGAGTGTACAATTTGTTCGGAGTACCAAAGTAGGGGTTATGGGTTGATCCCTGTCCAAGGTATGATGGAACTCGTGCTAGCAAACAATACGAAAAAATTCTTTTCAACCACCAGTATAAAAGACACCTGATTCATAACTTTGAAGCGGATCAAGTCGAGATTTACATCTTCACTTGTTACGTCAAGTTTTCTGAGCTTCACATTATTGGCTTAAGTGGTTACGGGAACCACACAACATTACCACTCTGAAATGGTGTCTCGCGGGTTTCAAGTATTCAGATGCTGGTTGTCCCATCGCACAAATAAGAACACGTAAGACGTAAAACACCGTCTTTCACATAGCTATGTTACGGGAGGGTTAAACGTCTGAGACTTGTTGGATACTACTTAATTTTAAAAATAGAAAGCTGGATAGTTGCTGGGATGATAAAGTGCTTTGAATTTTGCCCTTCCTACCACCCAGCGTCCTTCAGAATTTGTTTCCCAGTGTCAGGTCCACCATCACTAATAGGCTACGTGGAGATCACTGTAGCTCAGACTTTCGATAGAACAGCAAAGGGTTGAAGGCCACAAAAATTTTTACTGAGGCAGAGCAAGAACTCTGAGTCCGGTTCATTCTCCGGTCCATGTAAGCTAGATGAATTTCCAAAGAAAAATTACCAACTTTCCTGATGCAGAAAAATGTGCAAATGCAGGTCATCGATTTCACTACCGTAATTGTGATTTTTTTTTTAAAGTGGGACGAAAAAGTTTTGGCAATGATAAGGACACCTGCCATTCTTATCGCTTCGACCTAAGTCTACCTTTTCTTTTCCCTTTTAAAAGACATGTGACGTTTGGCTCCAAATCAATTGCAAAGCAAAGCCCAACACAGAAAGCTCTTTCTAGTGTCCTCTCCTCCCGTTTACACCACAGATGGCCACCGGGAGCTTAAGGTTTATCGTCCAGACACTAAAGCCTCTCATCCTAAAACGGCAGAGCTCCAGATGGGAGCTGTCTGGCAGAGGATGGGAAGCTGCCCATCTTCAGAGGTGCCGATGGGGGCGAATCCGGAGGCTAGACCCCAGTGCCCATCACTTTGCACCTATCCTTAGGAAACATCCCTTTCCCATCTCGGGGCGTGGAACTCCCACGAGTGACCTCCGGGGACCGGAGGGACCCAGGGCAGAAAGGGAGAAGTTGACAAGGGCAAGTCCGAGTCGCGCGCGGGAGGTTACTCACGGCAATGGCCCGGCGTCCTCGCTCCTCCACTCACACTCGCTGAGGAGGAAGAAGCCCCTAATGCTGCCACAGCCTGAGAGCTGCAGCCGAAGCTGCCGCCGCCGCAGCTACCACACAGTCCGGGCGTGGCAGGGGACTGGCGGGCGGCTTCACCTCATCACTCGGCGACCTTGGATCTGCGGTGACGCCGGGTCGACGGCAGCACCCACCCAGCTAGGGAAGCTCGCGGACCCACTTTCCCAGAAGCCTTCGGGGCCCCGGCGCACGGCCCGCTGGGAACTGTAGTTTCCTTTCAGTCCCGCCTACAGCACGGAGGCTCCACCTCCCCACCGAGCTGGAAGGTGGAGGCGCGGCGGGGCGGAGCGACGGGCCCCGACCCCGTAGGGGTGGGGCGGATCCCGTCCCGGCCGGTTGCCCCGGGCTGGGACAGAGGTCCAGGCCAACGGGCCTTGTCGCGGTCGTGCTACGCTTCTGCGCCCTGAGGCCCGCGCTGGGAGCGGGCCTGGCGTTCTTGCCCCGTTCGTCCTCGAGGCAGGTCCCGGGGTTTGCACGCGTCGCAGCCCCTCAGCGCCCGCAGCCTGGAGCCGCTGGCCTCGATCGCAGCCGGGGTAATGAGGGGAGGCAGGCGGGCGGGGGACGGTGCAGGGATCCCCGGGGGTGGGGGACGGGACAGGGTGCACAGCTCGGTGGGTGCGCAGCGGAAACCTGCGAGGCCCGAGCTGGGCGAGCAGTGGCCGCAGTCACAGCGCACCGGGGCCGCGGTGCCCGGGTGTCCAGCGGCGGTGCAGGGTGCAGGAGCCCAGCAACTCTCACCTTTGGTGGTGCAAACAGGCCTGGCGACTTCCCAACCCGAAGACACCCTCTGGCCCCAGCCCCGTCTGCTCGGAGACTTCGAAGGGACGGACCTTTTCCAAAATTAAATGCCCAGGCGTCGTTTTTGTCTTCAGTATTTACATGTGGTGTTATGTTTCCCCGTCATGGGTTTGTTTGTGTCGAATATCTTTCCTCCAAACTTGATCACGATTTGTGACAGTACCTACCTGGCACGGTGTTTGGCACTCCGTAAATACTTGTTGAAACCCTGAGTCATGATACTAAGTTTGGAAAATTCTACTGAGCTACCTGTGTGCATCGCTTTAATCTTTGTTAAGGTTTTATGAAATTTCAAGATCACCTTGAAAATGAACATAATTTTGAAGCTTCACAAAGAGAATTGGCAGGGTTTTGTTGTTGTTGTCGTTAGCATTTCCTGAAATAGTAGACCATTGAATGCCTAGATTAACTCAAAACTCAAGTTCTGTAAATACATAGACCCTTTGGGGTCGTTAACATTTCAAATGAGAGGCTATTGATATGCACGTCCATGTTATGAAACAAATTAGATTATTTATAAAGCTGTATTGTAATAGCTTTTTAGGTACAACTGCATTTAGGAATACAGGCTTCTTAAATTTATATACATATACACTCATATATATTAAAGACAGGATCACACTATGTAGGTAGCCCTGGCTGGCCTAGAACTCACAAGGATCTGCCTGCTTGTGTCTCTGCCTCTTGAATGCTGGAATTAAAAGCATGTTCCATTAAGCCTCAGCAAGCTCCCCCCACTTATTAAATTTTTCTTTCTTTTTCTTTTTTAGCATTTAAAAATCATAGTGTAATAGTGAAAGCTAACAGCAAATCTTTCGTTTAGTTCCTTTGTCCGGTACAACCGCTGTCTCGACCTCAAAATGTCTTGTAAAATTAACTGTGTAGTGTGGTCTATCCAAGGCGGAAACGTCTGAGATTAAACCACCCCACAGAAGCAACTCTTTGGTTAGCAACAATCCTAGAAGATTGTGACCTGAATCCTCCCTCCCCCAATTCTTTTATTGTTTAAAGCAACCAACTCAGTCACAACTTGCTGATCCTGAGTGAAAAGGAGGGGCAGAATCACGCTAACCACAAAATGAAGTTAAGCACAGCATCTTTCTGCCTCAGGTAAAGCCAGCAGCTAAAGGGTAGGAGGCACTGTGTGGATTCCTAGTGGGGTCTTCAGTGCTCAGCACTGTCTGGCCCACAGTGCCTAAGCCTGTGGCGAGAATACAAACTTCCCGCGTGTGATTTCTTTCATTATTTCGATATCTTCTCAAAATAGATTAATAAAAGTGAGCTTTTACTGTCTCACAAGTAAAATATTTTCACAGTTATTCAGATATTTTTTCTTAACTTGTTGCACTTGTTTTTTTGTTTATTTGTTTTTGTTTTTTGCTTCTTTTTTTTTTTTTTTTTGAGACTGTTTCTACTGGTAGCCTTAGTTGTCCTGGAACTAGCTTTGTAGATCAGACTGGCCTCCAGTTCAGAGATCGGCCTGCCACTGCCTCCTGAGTGCCGGGATTAACGGCACGCACCATCCTCACCTGGTGCCCAGAGTGAGTTCAAGGCCAGCCTGGTCTATAAGAGCTAGTTCCGGGACAAACTCCAAAGCTAGAGAGAAACCCTGTCTTGAAAATAAACACACACACACACACAAACAAAAAACAATGTATACATTTATTGATCTCAGTCATACTGGAGGGTAAGCTATACAGGAATCGCTTCCTTTAAACTGCTCCTGCCCATCATAAATTGACAATAATGCTTGCCTGGGGAAAAAAAATAATCTTAAATTTTCTCCTCCTTCTTCCCCTTTCTCTACCTTTGGAACCCTGCGGACTAGTGGACACCCTGCGAAAATCCACATCTTCCCTCAGCAGTAAAATTAGATAATATTTTATAACACTTATGGTCTATAAAACCTTCCTTTTCTCATTTTTCTTAGCTATTTGTAGATACCTTGATCAAATATGGTATTTGACTAAAATGAGATAATGAAACCCAGTTTCAAGAGATGATGTTTAGGAAGGAACAACCACTACACATACTGCCCTTGCTATCGGAGAAGACCCAGAAGATCATGGTGGTGGTCTTGTAGCTCCTTGAATCTGAAGACGTTACCATGCTAAAATTCCAACTCTTGTTAAAGACGCCAGGCGATGGTGGCGCACGCCTTTAATCCCAGCACTCGGGAGGCAGAGGCAGGCGGATCTCTGTGAGTTCGAGACCAGCCTGGTCTACAGAGCTAGTTCCAGGACAGGCTCCAAAGCCACAGAGAAACCCTGTCTCGAAAAACTAAAAAAAAAAAAAACGGACAGGAGTTGTTTGCATAATTATATACACAATAGAATGTCTCTCAACACATTCTAAGTTGAATACAGTTGAGAATGAAAAATCAAGGTTAAAAGAGTCAATCTATGAAAAATGTCATTTTTTACGTGAAAACTAAGAAGTCTCTTTTTGAACATGTGGCAGCAAGAACTAATTCATTTTGAGCCCAGTACGAGTCCTGCTTTGGATTTGTGACTTTTAGGCCCCAGTGAGGTAGTAGGTAGTTGATTGGTCAGCGTTCTTTGGAGACTCTCAAAGTCTGCGTGTAAACGGAATCACTAAAGATCCCGAGGATTTGTTTGCAAGCGGCCACACTTCTATAAGGAGGGTCCGAAATTGCTTCTCTATGGTGCCTTTCTGTTAATACAGGGCGGAAAAGGATAGGAGAGATGCAGTATCTTCAGGCTTTGGAGAGAGTAAGAAGCTCTTTTTAGCTTTCTGCCTTTTGGGAGCCACGTCAATGCTTACTAAAGACAGCTCAAGGGTGTCACTAGCCTAAGCAGCTGATAAGTTACATAATCTAGTTCTTCGAGAAGTGTATGTGAATCTAAACAATTGTGCTTTTGTTTTTATAGTAGGGTATCTCGGCGCCTTGAAGATAAAGCAGAACTCGTCTTTGAAATAGATGGCATTTTGTCACTTTCTGTGAACTAAAGCGATTCAATGTCTCTTCTGGTAAGTTTTGTTATAATTTTATGCCACCGGAGTAGTTAGATCAAAAAAAAAATCGAGAACAAAGGACAGTCATTCAGGTTTAAGCTCTGGGATGTTTTGACCAGAATGATGTGTGGCCTTGAGGATGATGTAAACTCTCAATGAGTTTTGCCTTTTTCAAAAAGAGTTTCTCCTACACTTTCTTTTTAAATATACTCATTATTGCAATTCTTTGTCCCAAACCGAATTTTTCTCATTTATTTTTCTCAAAGTCTAGTCTTTTTGTTTTTTGTTTTTTCGAGACAAGGTTTCTCTGTAGCTCTGGCAGTCCTGGAACTAGCTCTTGTAGACCAGGGTGGCCTCAAACTCACAGAGATCCTCCTGCCTCTGCCTCCTGGGTGCTGGGATTAAAGGCATGCACCACCACCGCCTGGATTAGAGTCTAGTCTTATCTCATAAAAAGGATCCCTTTTATAAATGTCTTTGTGTCCCAAGGCAGGTAAGACAGGTAAGATAGCATTTAAAATAAACCTTTGACTTAATCAGATAAAAAAAATTGAATCGTTCTATCATATAAACTACAGATGGAATTTATTTGTTTGTATATTAGATACATGACATCTGTTTTCGATTAAGTAGCTTGGGGACTTTCTGTCATATACAATTTGACAAGTATTTGGAAAGGGGTTTGATATTAAAACGGTGATCTTGCTCTTTAAAATTGTGGGGCTTAGCAGGACGTGCAGCAGCTTCCTCATTTGTGTTGGCTCGTGATTGCCAAAGATTAGGGCAAGTGTTCAGACTCATGCCTGCCATCCTACCCTTCTAGGATAGGATAGGAAGTCAGGCGACTATAGTTACTTTGTGTAGAAAAGATATATTTGCTTTAAATGTGTGTAACTGGAAAATACATGCTTGGTTCATTAAAGCAGGGTCAGCAGATACTTTGTAACAGGCCAGGAGATGTTACCAGGCTATGGCTCTTCTTCTGCTCTGGTAGCTCCAAAGCAGCCGTGGATAGTGGGGAAGTGGAAAACTAAAACCACCGAAACCCTGAACACATACCAACCATCCTTCGTTGACCCCTGTGCTAAAGGGATTTTAGGATTTACAGTTTTACATCCTTTTGCCAGTGAGGAAAGATAGGTGATGCCTTTTTCATTAGTTCCTTTATCTGAGTAATGAAGACTCTGAAATCCGGAGTGCTAAATTCAATGTAAAATAATTAGTAGATTGGCCTAGCTGAAAAATACTAGTTTGATTGTTGAGAAGTTTTGGTATATTCCAAAAAAAAAAAAAAAAAAACAAAAAAACAATGGAATTTGATTTCTTTGAAGGAACTGACAGTCCGGTGTTGGCAGAAGGGGGTGGACTCTGAGGCTCACTTGTTGCCATCTTTCAGTGCTCA